AATAAATAAAATATATGAAATAAATATAATATAATAAAGATATAACATAAATAAAATAAAATAAATAAATAAATAAAATATATTGTATAAAAGAAATATATATCATAGATAACATAGAAGATATATAAGACATATATGACTTCCTAAGGATTAACATTATCTTTTTGATCATCATCATCTATGTATTCTTTATGTAATAATAATTAAGATAATAAATAAAATAATAATAATAAAATAAATATAAATAATAAAATAAATATATTAAAAAAAATTATGATAAATGTGATATTATTAATCATTATGATATTTATAATCATGAATTTAATGATAATCATGATTATAATAATTTTATTTTCTTACAAATCATAAATCTAAAATAATTTTTTAATATCAATAAACTGTTACTAATACTATTTAATCTAATAATCTATATAATAACAAAATTAATTGATTAGCAAAATTATTTTTACTTTTTTTTTCATTACAATTTTTTTTAATTATATTTTTTTATTCATATATTTTGAATTTTAATAATATGCTTATTCATTATTTTTAACATTTCTTTTTGAAAAATTATACTAATATTAAATATTTTACTGAATATTATTATCTTAAACAAAATATTAAATATTAATATTTTTAAATTTATTTAATTTAATTTAAAAATGTTATATTATTCAAAGAAATAAGATACTACAATTAGAAACTCAAACTTTTTTTTGAATAATTTTCTTATATTCAATTTATGAAAATAACATAATTAAAACTCTATCTATTTTTTTTTTTTTTAGAAATGTTGCTAATATAATAATTATGATAAGTGAAATAATTTTGATAATATTAAATTGATTACGTTAATTTAATATTTATTATAAATTATTAATATAATAATTACGTTTGTCAAAATATAAAATGTTTATTAAAATACAATTTAATTAATAATTTGTCAATTTATATTGAAGTATTTTGTATTATTTTACAATTTTGTATTTAATTAAGCTTATAATATTATATGAAAAACTAGATGTAAATTAACTATTGATAAAAAAAAATTTTATACATTACTAATCATTAAAAAAGTATAACTTTACTTATTCTAAAGTTAATTTTTATATAAATAGTTTCTTTAATATTCCTTTTAATCAAAATATTAATGCTTTAAATTATATTTTTTTCTTAATAATTCTTACAAATATCATTTTTATTAGTCTCTTTTTAGATCAATAATAATTAGTTGTTCTAATTTTTTCTTTTCATTTAGTTTAATAATATTGATTATTTAATAAATCTTTGTGATAGAATCAGATAAAATAACTGATTAGCCTAGTAGGAGTTAGTCTTACTAATAAAAAATATTAAACAGCAGTTTTTATTTTCTACATTTATATCTATTTTAAGATTTTCATGTATTTTTTACTAAAATTTTATTATATAATAAAATATTGCATTATTGCATCTATAAAAAAAAGTTATTTAAATTCAATTAAAATTTTAATATATTATTTTTTCAAGATTATATATATATAAGATATATTAAAATTTAGTTTTATTTCAATTAGTAAGTTCTAAAAATACAATATCAAAAATCATATTTAGAGACTTTTGGTTATTCTTTGTAATATGAATATACTTTAATGCTAATTAATTTTGATATTAAAATTTATTATGTCAATTTGACATTATTATAAATTATTAATAAAGTAATTATATTTGTTAAAATATAATTTAATTAGTAATTCATTAATTTATATATTAAAATATAATTTGTTTTTAATAATATAACCTCTGATGAGTATAGGCTTTTTCAGAATATCTTATAATTAATACTATTTTTATCTGTTAAATGTAAAAAAAAAACTGCTTTACATTAATAAAAATATTAAAATAGGTAAAATAAATAAAAAGAAAAAAGTTAGTATAACAAGAATATGTATCAAATGAAAATGTTTAGAAAAAACTCTCAATTGTATGCTACTAGTTAAGGTATATCCCAACTATTCTCAGAAATAATTATTAAAACATTGAATAGAATTGCTAAGGTTTACTTATAATTTATTATAAAGTGAAATAAAAATGTTATTTATAAAGAAAGATGATATCAAAAAAGAAATATATAAATCTTATGAATTATCAATAAAACTTCTTTTATTTAGTAAAATTCAAGCTGAAATAAATGTTAATAAAGTAAATAATAAGAAATTCATTAATTTAGCTATTTGAAATGAAAGAAAATTTTGAGAGCTATAATTCATTTAGTAATGTTATTACGTAAAACATTAATATTGTTCTTGCAAATATAATTGCTAAAGCAATTGATAAAACTATAACTGCTAGAAATGAGATTATTAAGCAAAATACTCAATATACACAAAGTGAATCTGTTAGTTTTCTATCATTTTGAACTTGTAATGATTTATAACAAACTATTACTATCTGTGTTCAAAATTTTTCATCTTCAATATGTAACCATTTTTACATCACCTACCTGCATACTCCATCAAGGTATACTTTACATCATCACAAGCCTATCACAATAAACAATAACAAGTATGCATTATAATCTCTTCATTTTGAAAAGAAGCATAAAAATAATAAATGGCTTATTTCCCATAAGGTTTTTGTGATAGCAAGCTTACTTATTGCCAAAAAATGAATGGAATTTTGCATGAATCTATGAGGTACAAAAACATCCTTGCAAAATCCAAGTGGATGGTATTCATGCAGTCTCTATTGATCTTGAGGTTAGAATACCATTCACATGGTACTCTTCAACAAAAGGTGTAGGTAAGATTGGTGAGGTCTACTTCCAAACGCAAACAAAAATAAGGCTAAAAGACTTATTAAATCATTAGCATGTATGAGGCGAAAATTTTCATTTGCAAATGAAATACATAGAAAGCAGTTTCATTTTCAATCGTGAATTTGATGCTATCATCATTCCATCTTCTGAAGTGTCAAATATGACAAATAGAAAAACAAGAAAAATTATACGAAAAACAGTTCGGCAAATGATTGGTTGGACATATTATAAATTTCGCCAACGGTCTAGAAGCCAAAGTAGAAGAATTGGGAGTTCACATCATTATTCAAAATGAAGCTTATAACTTTAAAGTTTGTAGCTGGTGTGGAAAATTCAAAAATTGGAGGGTCCAAGGTGCACAACTGCCGGAATTGTGGAACTGTAATGGATCGAGATGAAAATGGCGCTCGGGGAATTTTTCTCCGGGTTTTGCTTGATGGAGCCTTGATTCTTTCCGGAAATCATGCAAAATAATAGCAATGCTTAAGTATTACATCCGCCATAAATTCCGTTTTATTATTCAAAGCTAAGTATAATAATTTTAAGACAAAGGAAAAAAATAATTACTATACAAATATTTTATTTGATATTTATTTTTTTAAAAAACTATTTATACATCCAAATTTTTTATAAATAACGGGAATATAAATTAATTCTTGTAATAAATAAAAAAAAAAAAAAAGGAAAAAAAAAATTTGAATCTCAAATTCAAAATTTACCTAAATATAATCATAAATATATATATCTTTTTAAACTATATACATAGTAAGAAAAATTGTATTTTATATTAAAATAAATAGTCACTTTAGTATTTAACCAAATTATCCATATTTAATAAATTAAAATTAAATCCGATAGCAAACAACTTATTTTTGATATCATTATTAAAGACTGGATCATTAGTTTCGATAGGATTAAATTCGGGCGAAACATCAATCATTTCTTCGTCATTAATATTTCTGACGTTATGGTATTCAATTAAATGTTTTCTTACATTTCTAAAAGAATATGACATTTTGGGGTGCTCCTTTGCAAAACATACTTTACATTTAAACTTGTTATTTTCTCGATAACCACCAAGTACTGCACCTTGCACAGTTGTTGTTGGTCCGCCATTGTTCAATAAATATGTAGCTTCGCACCAAATTAGTGGCATTAAAGTTTTCATAAGATAATTTTCATCCCATAGATTATATGGATTACCTTCATGAAATGGCGGATTCCTATAAGATGGACACCAAGGTAAATATTTTTCAATAATAAACCTATTTTCATCTTGTTGTATATTAACATTGGCATTCGAATCAAATTGGAAGAAATATTGATCGTACAACATGTAATATTCATCCGTCGAAGATGACGGCGTTGGCATTTCATAATTTAAAGAAAATTGGTCCATATCAACATCTTCCATTTGGTCTGTGTAAAAATAATCTGAATAGATAGGTGCTGAATTGGATGTAGATGCATAATCAAAAGAAAAATTCGATGTATCGTGCGATATTAGGGAGTCGATTGACATTATGGAATTTGTATCTGCGTAAAGAAAATATTAATTAATTTTTTTTTTTTTAAAAAAAAAAAAAAAAGGTAAAAAATCTCCCTTTGCTTACCTGTATAAGATGTGTTATTGTCATTAGAATAAGAAAAATCGGAAATTTGAGTTGGCATTGAAAAGTAAATGGACATATTGGGTATAGTTATGTTGTCAATATTCATAGGAGTGTCGTCAGATGTTGAGATTAAGTTATCAATATTCATAGAAGCATTATTGGAAGTTGAGGTTACGCCTTCAATCTTATCAGAAGTGGTATCTGATATTGAAGTTGTATTTTCAACTTTTATATTTGTAAACTCAGTAAATGGTGTTGTATCTTCAACTTTTATATGTGAAAAGTCGGTTATTGAAGTCGTATTTTCAGATTTGATGGGGGTAGTTTCATTCGTCATATTATTATCAGCGGAAGCGGAAGTGGAAGTGGAAGCTGAACTGGTTGACGTATTAACTGCAGCTGAAGTGGATGTTGAAGAAAATGCTAATTCGGCTGCACTAATTTCAATTTGTTCCATTTTTTTCTCAGTTTCTGGATCAGGAATCCATTGTTTAGCTATTTCATAAATATCAAATTGTCTCATCTGGATGATGGTATCTTTTGGAAGAATTTTTTCTTTTTCAATGCGCAGCTGTCTCTTCTTTTCAGATAATTCATTATATTCTTTTATTAATTTCTTTTTCAACAAAGCCCAAGCACGATCCGTGAAAGGTTGTGGAGATTTAAGATTAATATATTTCGTGGCGTTCGTGTAAGCATTGGTTTCCATGAGGGTATCAGAATATTTGGCAATTCCATATTCATTTTTTTCTGATTTCATCTCCAAAATTCTGGATTGAATTTGTGAAGCTCTCTCACTTCTCTTTATCGAGTTTTCATGCATCTTATTTCTTAATTCTTTGTCAGTTTCCAATTTTCTCTTGACAGCTTCCTTCATTTTGGCATCACCTTCTTCTCTCTTTTTTCTAATCCACTCAATCCTAAGAGTATGAGGAATCTCTTTAAATTCTTCATAAGCAGCTAAATAATCCTTAGTCCAATAAAGGCTCGAAGGTCTATTCTTTGTTCCTCTGTCCCATGCCCTTCTATGCCAAGATGGAATGTAAGCCAATCCCGCCAACACATCATCAGCTCTTACATTTTGTAGTTTAAAAAAATCTTGTTTAATATCTTCTTTTCTAAAAATATTTTTAAAAATGTACGTGTATAATATATATATATGTATTTAAATAAAAAATAAGATGTAAAAGCAAATAAATCATACTACATCATATCGAATAGGTTACCTTAAGGTTCTTTCCTTTAAACAATCCTCGCAGCAGCGGACAAGAAATTCCCAATAAACTTTCCGAATTTTTGTTTTACCACAAAATTGGCATCCCCTCTCCAAGACCAATCTCACATACTGCCTCTCTGTCATTCCATCTGGAGGTGGCAATTGTAAGTACGGCAAAAACATCTCCCTGGATGCTTTCCAAATTTCTTGAGTTGTCATTGAGGTTTCTGCACTCAAGAATCCATTAAATCTTTTGCATGCTCGAGCCAAAGATAACAAGTCAACGGGAGGAAGGTTTTGGCATATATTTATAAACATTTCTGGGGGAAGCGTGATAAATAAACACGGCCCCGTCGCCCGCTGCTTTCTACCTCCAGCGCCTTGAATATTCCTCCGGACCATATTGTAAATATCTTTATCTTTTAAGTTATTTGTACAAAAAAAAAATGAAAAAAATTTGTCAGAGAGATAAAAGAGGTGCCTCAAAAAAAAAAAAAATGAAAATGAAAAAAAAAAGAAGAAAAGAATTTAACCTGGTGTTTATTTAAACTAAATCCTCTTTTAGGTATTTCCGAACTAATTGAGATTTGATTGAGGTATAAACGTTGTACAGTGAATAAAATTTCCCGCAGTAAAGCTGTGACACGGTGGGATTAATAAATAAATCAAGGGGGGGGGTGGATAGATATAAATTTCGATAAAGGAAAGAAAAAAAAAAAAAAAAAAAAAAAAAAAAAAAGAATAAATAACTGGCTTTGGGAAAGGAGAAACGGCAAACGTTTTATTCTTATTTGCTGACATGAAAGGAAATGTAAATGAGTTTATTGTTGTCAAATGACCTTTCTATTTGAAAGGGAGAACAAGATAGAGAAAACTTAAACCTTTTAATCACCATTCTAACTGATGAGAGTTTTGATGATCCAAATACAAGTCTCGTCATCAGAAGTCAGGGTATATAATACAAAAAATACTAATGAAACCAACTTCGGAAACAATGTTTAATATTAGAAATTCATTACAAAACTTGTGGTTGCACGAAGTAACCGCGTTATTGATTTCGATGATTTTCGTGTAAATTGGCGCAGCTATTTCTTTTTTGATGCAAACAAAGTTGTCATATGACGGATAACAGTAACTATTTGTGAAGTAATATAAACCTCTATAAGAACCGTTAATTGAATATCATGATAATCTACTTGAAACCCTTTGAACGCAGGATCACGTGACACGACCTTATTTAAACCTTAATTTCATTTTAAAAAAATTTTTTTTTCATTTTCTCAATCGGAATAAGTTTTTATTATATTTTATTGGATTTTCTTATCATGATTTAAACTTATTTAGGAATTCTTTTAAAAGAGGTCGCGATTCGTTTTCGTAAAATCATGGAAATCAGAACTTAAGGTTGATACCCTTATTTAAATGACCATTTTCGTTTTGCATTCTTGCATTTACATATTAGTAGTGAAAAAAGCTTACCACATTAATCTCGTTATCAACCTGAATCATATGAGCATTAGATGATTTTTCAACATTTCTTTGTTTACTTCGTATTTTAACATGTGAATAATTTCTCTTGAAATTTGTATATATCAATATCAATCAATTCGTTGTGACTCGCATTTTAAATTCTTGTGTTCTTCGGCTCGCATTCTTGAATTTTTGGGAGATAAAAAAATTTTTCTTCTCACGCCAATAGCAACTATTTTCCTGTTTTTTTTTTTTTTTTTTTTTTTTATTAAAAAAAAAAAATCATCAATCAATTTTCAAATCAAGTATCTCAATAAAGGAAGCATGCGACTGGATGTTAGAACCAACCCAAAAATATCCTTCAATAACAAATGTAAACATTAATAAATCCATATATATTCATCCCTTTTATCGATAAAACTCAAATATATATTTTTTTTTTTAAAAAAAAAAAAAAAAAAAAACAAACATAAGCACATTAATGTGTATCTTTTTTTCATTTATGAAGATTTGTAAGTGATCATGCAATTGTAAAACATCAATTTTATTATAAATTTCATATTTATTTATATACTTATTAACTAAGTATTTTTTTTTTATATTAAATATTTGTATAAAACTTTTTTTATTACAACCCTTTCCAACACGTCAAATAAAATTTTTTTGGATTTCCATTCGTTGCCAAAAAATATTTAAGAAAAGATTGTTCCTTTGGTTCTAGTAAAATAAAGAGTAATCCAAATCAATTTCTCAATATCATCGCTTAATTAAATAATTAATTTCTTAAATAGCTTACGTTGCATAATTGCTGTATCATAATAATAATCCATCATGGCTTTCGCTTCATCTTTTGTATACTCCTTTACGTCGAATCTTTGCAGTCCGGTTGTATACTGCCAAATTGTGTCCGAAACCGGCTTCCATGATGATGCTTCAGATAATCCAAGTGCAATTTCTAATGTTTTACTAATAAATGGTTTAAAATTATGCGATAAAGCCCCTATCGCTGCTCCATATGTCTATAGATAGGCAAACCAATTTTCAATAAAAAATGACAAAGTCAAAATTTTCAAACGCTAGTGATATAGTCCTTACGAAATCTTTCTTTCCAGAAAAGTATTCCAAGATAGTTCGAGGAAGTGATAGTCTATTGACTTCTAACAAAGAATCATCAACATCACGATATTCAGAATTGGCATAAAATGCGTTGACTTCATCAACTGCAAGCAAAACTGGATATTCTGAATTATTTCCTATTTCTTCCAAGAATATTTCAAAAACGTCTTGCGCGGAATGAGGATCATTTATTCCTACATCCAGTAATTGAGACGCGGTCTTGTCTCCTTCGATTGCATGACGATGTATTTGGTGACTTCGTCTAAGTTTGATCTAATGTCAAAATTAATTATCACGTTTTTAAAATATATTTATCATAATCAATTGGAACTTAATAATTAAATTTGATCTCGCATACATTTCTTAGATAACGTTCGTTTACACGTTTGATCTGCTGTAGAATCGATGCGGCCAACGTAGGTTGTACAAATTCATTCGTTGATTCCACCTTTATATATGGAAACGTACTATTTACAAATTGGATCGCTAACAAATTATTGTATGAATTAAAGAATACTGAAATTATAAAAAAAATTTAAAAATGATAATAATATATATATATAAATTCTTACCATGTGGAATATAGATCACAATCCATGGTTGACACATTGCATAATTAACAGCTTGCACAAGTAGCGCACTTTTGCCAACTCCTAACGATCCTGCTAATTTTAAAACATTCACATAAACGTCAAAAGATCTTAAAACGTCTCATTTAAAATTTAACATGAACTCACATAAAATAAATCTATTATTTGTACTAGGTGACGTGGATGCATCCTTAAGCAAACTTATTAATTCCACTGAAGATTGACGAACGACTAATGATGGGCGGTGAAATAACGCAAACTATAAAAATTATCTTTTTATAAATATGTAAATGACATAAAAACATAATTAACAAATAACTTATTTACCTCTTTAGATAACGATGTTGGAAATTTAAATACATTAAATTTTGGAATAACTTCTTCCGGAATTTGATAAACTTTACCAACATTTTCATGAGTGAAAACGTCCTATTTTAAGATTTGATAAATTCATGCCGTGTAACATTTTTACTTTAAAAATAAATCGATTAGATAATCTTACCGGAAGCATATCATTTAAAATAATAACAGGAGCAGCTTTGTAAAACTCTTCACTGCCCTGTTCAGAACTACTTGCACTTTTAATTTCTCCCTCCTAAGCATAAATTAATAATCGAACATGGAAAGATTATAAAAAATCACGCTTAAGTAATCTTTGAAAAAAAAAAAAAAAAAAAAAAAAAAAATGTCAAATTTACTTCTGATGACTCTTTCTTAGTTTTTTTTCGTTTAAATCCCAAACTTTTTCCTTGCTTTTCCTTCGGTTTTTTTACTATACAATAAAATAAAAATAAAATTAGATGCGATTAAGAAAATTCAATTTGGATGATTCCTACATTTTGGTCTTGCTGTTCCAGTTCTTTTTTGTTGAATAATCAAACTTGATGAAATTAAGGGTGGTCGAATAGCACTTAGTATTGGAGGAATTAGAAAAGATCGTCTTGCATTCACTCTTGGGATAATTGAATTAATATTTGGTATGATTTTTGTATATAAAGATGACATAGTTCCGAGAAATAAAATATCTCGAGAAAGAGATTTTTGAAATCGTGAAAAAAAAAATTCCGACTTTTTATAAATTTAGTTTGCTTAAATTGGATAGATCTGGTTAAAAATTGCAGATAAACAAAAAAAAAAAAAAGAAGATTTTCGTCGCCTGCAGGATTCGAACCTGCGCTCCCAAAGGGAAATGGCTTAGCAGGCCACCGCGTTAACCACTCCGCCAAAGCGACTAAATCATTGTTAAGTTTCGAGATAAAATTATATTTATGATAAAATTTAATTCAATCTATTTTTAATAAAAATGGAAATCAATATGCACCATATTAAATTATCATAAAATTAAATAAACTTTGTTGAGTATAAGTAATTAAAAAGAAAAAAAAATATTATTATCTGAAAACACACGTCATTATAAACATGGGGTCATGAAAAAAATTATGAAAGTATCAGTAGTTAAATGAAATGATTAGAAAATGGCATAATAAAGTACAATGATCAAAAAAGCTTACATCTTTTTCTTATAAAAAGATACTAATTTCTTCGTTTATAAAATTTGTTGTTATTTATTGATTAATTGGCCTTTTAATAGATCAAAATGGGTAAAGTAAAGAAAAAACAGGACAAATCAACTAAAAAACCAAAACCCATCAACCAGTAATATTTTGTTGCTTTCATAATTGTTTAATTGTATAATTATAATCCATGTGCGTCAAATGGTCTTTTTTTTTTCTTCCTTAGCCTACAACGAACTTATTTACCTCGCGCAGCAGAAGATCCTAACCGCAAGCATAAAATTGCAGAAAAGGTCATAGATCATAAAAGCGAAGAGCTAAATATTTGGTATTTAATCCGATTTAAAGGTAATGTATTCGTTTTTTTTTTATAAATTATTATTCTCCATGAATTTCACATGACTATTTCACTTTGATATAGATATGACAAAACCACAGTGGCTTCCAGAAACTAGTATGTCTGGATGCAACCAACTTATCCAGGAATATTGGGCGATAAATAAAACAGATACAAATACTAATAATAATAATCAAGTTTCAAGATTCATGTCAAATTCCGAATGTGATAACCCACGATCTTTCAATAAATCTCGTACCGAATTTCATGATCGATCTAATAAATCAAAAGATTCTTCTTTGCAATCAAGTTCTCAATCTCGTTACGAATTTGTTGTTGATTCTCGCAATTCTGCTACATCTAGTAATACACAGAAGTGGAAACGTTCGAAACGTATTGAAAAGTCGCAAGATAAAATTGCCAAGAATCCAACAAGAAATCCTGTACGTTATGAAAAAATTCGTCGAGATTTTCCTGTAGAAAAACCTATAGTAAGCAAAACTTCCGAAAATCAAATCGTTATTGGATCATGTAAGTAAATTACTTTAAAATAAACAATATAAATTTCAATATAAATAAGTAATCTATAAATTGTAATCTTTAATTCTATTTTGAAATAGGTCCTAATATTGCAACTTCTAAAGCACTCAGAGTTACTGAACCTATATTAACGAAGTAATAAAAGTTTTTAATGATTCTTTTTAAATCAATATATTAAAAATTATATTTATAATTGTTGTCATTTCATTAAAAGAGGACAAAATAAAAGATCGAGATCGGAAGATGCGTTGCATCAGCAACTAACGTCGGATATTGAAAGAGCTCAATCTCAATGTAAAGATTCCCTAAGGTTGACTCTTGACGAATTTTTTTCAGAAATAAGGAACGAAATGGGGATGCCACAAAAAGCACACATATTACCATCCATGCAACTTCATTCTGCAGATAATAATAATGGTGAGAAATAAATCTCTATGCAACATGAGAATTTTATTAATTTATTTTATATTTTAATATTTGAAATATTGCTCTTATCGTAGGAGAAATTCCGATCAAGTAAATACTTTAAGAACCTCTAAAAAGATTTTTTTTTTTTTTTTTTTTTTGTATGTTTATATTTATATAATTTAAAAAATAAAATTAAGCTATATAAAATGGACGGGTAATATAATTAAAGGATCATTAGTCCTTTTCGTTGCTTCAGTAAATGTCACGCCATTTCCAGGGAGATGCAACAATATATCAACACTGTAAGCTATATTATTGATTACAATAATTGTTGTTAATTAATAATCTTTAATTATAAATATCTGAAATTAAATTTAATATCAAATTTTTAGGAAAAAAATTGCAGATGAAAATATATCAAAGCTTTGCATTCAACATTCTTTACCACTTTCATATGCATTAAACCTAGTTAAAGACAGGGACAAATGTCCGATGTTTGAAATAAAACCATTGCAAATTGCAAAATCAAGACGCAACATTTTAGTGGAAAGAACAATAATGATGCGAAGTAAAATTGTAAGTTTTCTTATTTTTTTCTTTGTTTGTATTAAGAAGAGAAAAGGAATTTCGGAATCTGTTTTGCAGAGTCCGGATCACCGGACAATTCATAATTTTAATTTATTTATAATCTACAGGCTGGAGTAATTTGGATCGAAGAATATAAATCAGCATGGATCATTTTTCCTTATCACGAAAAGATATGTAGCCTCTTGAAGTTGCCAGACAAGAAAGAATTGATGCTGTTCGCGGTCTCTATGTTTATACCATCGAGATTTGATCCTTTACCATTAAAAATTGAGCCCAAAGAATCTATAATATTACCTAATGATAGATTTTCAGTGAAAGAAATAATTCAAACCAAAGTCTTCCTTCATCATACTGAATATTATTCTGAATTACGAGAAATGTGTAGAGGTCGAATTCATTTCACATATTTTGGTAATAAAGAATTTCCAGAAGTTCAAGAATTGCTTTTGGTCATGGAAATTTTGGGAGCAATTTATGATGAGAATTATAGCGAGAATATTTCATTGGTTTTGGTAAGTAATTTATAATTTATATTTACTTCGAAATGATTTATTAATTATTTCATTTTTTAAATAGGTTCACGTTTTATTTTTGAAACAACTACTTTTCATGCGCAACTTGATGGATTTTAAAAGACTTCCGAATTGCAGATTTCTTTTATTTGGAACTGATTTAATAGGATCATATAAACCCATCCGTTTCAAAGAACACTTACCAAATGGTATATGTCATAAATATTTTGAATTTTGAAATTTCTCAAACCTTTATTTCTATTCAATATAGGAGGAATGATATCGGCGACCACGTTTACATTTCTACAGGAGGAGCAAGTCTCCAACAGGATCATAAATGTCATCGACTATGTAATATTCTGTCTAATCGATTATTCGCTTATTCCATAAATATCATTAATTCTATTTTATTTTTATTTAGCAAGATGCTCCTTGGGATTATTTGTTATACATAAATGTCATGGATAATCTAGCGGACCTAGGTCAAAATCAAAACAATCAACGGTAAATAATGAAAATCGTTTTTAATTCTCAACGATTCAAGTTGAATTGAATTAACCTAACATTTTCAAATTTTAGTGCATTTCAAGCTTGGCATGAGGCTATGGCAGCTATTGGAATGAAGAAGGCAAGATATATCAGGAGAGAAGAAATGTTCATGCCCGAAAAGGTTTATATAAATAATTACAGTTGGATTTATTTATCAATTCGATTTCTTAAAAAAAAATGTATTATTATTTTCTAGGTTCCTGAGGAGCCTCCTTCGATGGTTTCTAGCTTAACTAGAACGATGTTAAGGATTCACACCATGTATGCTTCAGAACGACGACATTTTATATTAATTCGGCATCCAAAAGAGGAAGAATTTTCTAATGTGTCATTTCCGGGAGTAAGTATTTGATAGATTAATTTTTTTTTTTTTTTTGACTGACTAACTTCTAACTTTGTTACAATCTAAGGTTTGGAAGATGTCACTTCAAGAATTCGAACAAAATTTCGGAACGACTATGTAAATAATGAATCTAAATGATTTAATCATTTTGGACGATAATTTTTAGTCATAATGATGCTATTGCATGGGAAAATCATAGAAAATGTAGGGGCATTACTCATTAAATATACTGTATGATTATAATTAATTTGGTTACTCATAGAATTGCATATTCTTATACCCCTGTTATGACAAATTTCCTTTGTATTATAAAATCTTTTTTGGGATTTCCCGAAATAGTTAAAAAAAATTAAGTTAGATCCGGAAAAAAGAATACCAATAAAGGGTGTAAAAGCCAAGTAGAAACTAAAAGATGCAATCATGAATTACCCCTAGAACAGATGTCCCATTTACAACCCAATTAACTCAAATAATCACGTGAATAAACAATCAAACCATATAAATACTGTATCAAAGAATCATTAGTTGCATACTGTAACTACAAACTTCTTTTACAAATTTACGATAAAAGATAATAATGCCTACATTAGCAACTTATTCGTTAATAACTTTGTTATTCACTATTTCTTATACCTTTACTTTACTGTCTTTATTATTGCCAAATTGGTAAATAAAAAACTTTTGTAATATCGTTCGTTTTAATCATACGTGAAATTTCTTTAAAATTATTCTCTTTAGGTTACTTTTTTCAACCCCGAAACCATTTCGCACATATACCAACATTGGTTTATTTAAGGTAGACATGAATTTTTTACGATACCGATAGAAAATAATAACTAACTTTTTTCAAACATAATTTTCATTACAGCGATGTTCTAATACGATATTTAATGATGAATGTCGGCCGTTTCCATCATCAGATTACAACGATTGTGAAGAGAAATTTTTTTGTGAAGAATGGGGATTAGCAGTAACAACGATGATATTAGCTGCGATATTAGGAGGTTTAACATGGTTAAACTTTGTTTTAATTTTATTAGGAGGAAGGTTAAGAAGAGAGAAAGCATGGAAAAATTCTTCAGGATTGCTTCTTTTACACGGTTAATATCTTGGGAATTTCTCTTTATTAATTATTTTTATTTTTAAATTATTATTAACCTAACTTGTCTTTGATCTTTTTTAGCATTATTTCAGTTTATTACAATCTTTTTAATTGCTCATATTTATACAACATCGGAAAAATTTTATTTTGGAGTCAAATATGATTATAGTTTTATATTTGCAAATATCTCAGCATGTCTTAGTGTTCTCTTATCCCTTACATTATTTACGAATGGATTGTTTTCACCACCCGAATATCATTCTTTTTAGAACGAATTATCGTTTTTATATGAACATTATTTACGTTGTACGATTAAGTATATGTATATTACAATAAAATTTCGAATATTCTTCCAATAAGTTGATCATTGCTTTTTATAAAATTGACGTACACGTTAAACATGTGATTAAATTTTTTAACCATAAAAAGAACGCGTCAACGTAGAGACGTGAGGGGTGTAAATCACACAATGATTTGAGTGGTAAACTGGGGGGGGGGGGGGTTGAAATGGCCTAAAATCGAAACAAAAGTTTTCTCGCATAAAGACGTCAATATATGATATCATACGTTTTTGTAATTGCAAATTGAACGAAATATAAGTCTAGTGGAATAGGATCAGGTAGATTTTGAGGGATTTGGAGAGGATGCTTCCCATGATAATCGAAATTAATGATGCACTGACCTTGCCGAATATTTTATTTGATTTCCTGCGTTCTGAATTAATAATCAATTTATGAGCATTAAATATTTTTAATTACATTAATAGAAAAGAAACCTAAATAATTCGATTTAACATAACTCTAAATGGAAATGAAATCCTCGTTCTTCTATCCTCTACATAGTAATGCCAAGCCTATAATGTTATAAAAATAATTAGATTGATATGCTGTATAAAATATTACTTACTGATATTATTATATAACATAATTAGTATTATTTACCATAACTTTATAATCTGTTATAACTTTTACAATCTTCCTATTGTTGAAATATAAATTATAGATAGGTTCTAAAAAAAAATTTAATATATCAAATTCATATAAAATTTGTTTTGTATTAATTAATATAAAAAATCAGTAATTTGAAATTTTTATTTATTATATATCCAAATTAACTATAAAAGAAATAATAAAAAGTAAATTATTAATACTAAAAAACATTATTTTAATAATAAAAAAATAAACTTTTTAAATAATAACAGAAGTATTTTAATGTAAAAAGATGCAAAATGTAAATTAGAAATCTTAAAAGTTCACCTTTATAATAATATTTATTATATTCTAAAATTATTAGCAAATATTAATATAATAAACATTTTCTAAATTAATAAATTAAAAAAAGTTTAGGAAGATTCTATTGCATAAAGATTATCAATACAATATAATTTCGTTGCTGATTATTAATCAAGCCCACAATCCAATAATCAAATTTAGAATTTTAATGATCATATAAGGTGATTTCATAATTATTCAAATTATAGACTCTATAAAGAAAAATAGTTATTAATACTTAATTGTAGAATGGTAATAATAAAGATCAAGAAATCTATTCCCTTATACTCATTCTTGATTAAATCTACAATGATTAGTATTAAATAAATTAAAGTCTGAATATTTTGGCTAAAAGACTCAATTTTGACCCCAATACATATAAATAAAATAACATCAATGCTAATTAAGTTTAAAATTGATTTAAGGATCTTTTATTTACATTAAATTCTTGTCTCATAAAAAATATAGTTGTAAATTTTGATTTATAAAAAATTTATATAATATTTCAAATTTGATTTATTATTGAAATACAAATATATACTTTCTTTTCTGTATTACTACTCAAATAATTATAATAAAAAAACAATCTATTACTTCTTCACTCTTCTAATTTTCAACCATTTTACTATTAATTATTTTAAGAATATGATTTTTTTCAACAGGATCTTGTCTATATGTATATATAAAATATTTATAGTAATTATCTAAAGAATAAAATAAAGAGATACATTCTGTAAGATCACTAGATACTCTTATATTAGTTGGAGTTTACTTAAATAACTTATTTAACTATAAATATAAACAAAGCAGTATTTTATACCTAATTGCTAAAACTATATTTTAATCTTTCAATTATGATTCAGAGCACATTTTATTACGAGAAAATAATCACCATCTTTAGAAACTAAAACAAATATACCAGGATTCTTAGTCTAGATAACATTTACTATAAAAGTATCTAATTCTATATCAATGTTCTTTTTTTTATTTTTTATATTTCAATCAAATATAATTATATTATAACCTTAACTTTCAATCTAATTTTAAAATGAATTGTTCAGTATTTAAAATTGTAAGTATTAAATTATTTAAAATATCTATTAATGTTTGATATTCAATATCTTTACAAAGTGATTCAAATTTATAAATTATTTTTACAGCAATTTTAATCTATGCTGAATTTGCTAATTAAAAGCAAATTAATTTTTTAAATATTTAGGTTTTTTTATTAATATTTTATTTTTACCAAAATTGATTTAAATAATTTTTCAAAAAAATTTCAATGAATTAATATTCCTTAAACTATAAGTATAAAATTATTTTTATTTTTTATTTAATTGATAAATTTTCTAAATTTATATATATTTGAATCATTTTTATCACAATCTTTAATTTTATAAAGACTATTATTTATACTTATTTTATAGATTTATTTGATATATACTTTTTTTTTTATTTTAATTTAAAGTCAAAAAATTTAATTAAAATAATACTTTTAATAACTAAACATTAAAAAAATTAGCTTTTCTATTTTTGATAAATGATATAACAATCAATTTTGTATTAATTAAAATTAAAAACTATATGATATCTTAAAAATGATCATCACAAAGTTTAATTAATAAAATCATAGAAAAGTTAAATGTTTACAGTCAACCTTTTCTAAATACACCCCTTTAGGACCATAGTGAAAATTTTAAAAAATGTGTATTTAAAAAGGATGTACATTTAAAAAAAAATTTCTATATAAATTCTATATACTTAGAACTAAATAAGAGTATGTATTTAAAAAGAAAATATATAGTGTATGTAATTAGAGAGAATGCATTTAGAGAGGATTAACTGTATTATATTTATCTATTATTATTTTATTATATATAATTTAAATAATATCTGAATAAATTCAGAAATAATAAAAATTTTTTTAAATGCTTTTTATTATTAAAATTTAAAAAAACAAATATAAAATTAATAGTTTTATTTACAAAAAATATGTTAAGTTAATACTTATATAACTATAATTTTTACATTTATTATAAAATAAATAGCTATTACTACTAATTAATTAAATATATTAATAATCTTATCAATAACTTATAAATAGAATTCTGAAAATGATTTACATAAACTTATATTTTTGATTCGTATGATTATGTATAATTATAAATTTTAGTTATACATAATAAATAAGTACTTTAAATTAAAGATATGTAAAATAATTTTGACTTAAAATTTAATTTAACTTGATTTATTAAGAAAACTATCTATAAACCCATTTTTCTAAAAATCTTACTAATTATTTATTAATTTTAATAAAAAATATGTTACAACCTAATAATTATGTCATTAAATGATTATAATATAAATATGTAGTAAAATATTTTATAATAGAAATAAATTCCTTTTCAAATATAAAAAACAATATTTTAATAATATTGATTTTTAATTATTATAAATTAATAAAAATTATATTAATCATATTCAGATTAGCTCTTATAAATATAAAATAAATATAAATCAGATATTACATATTTTTACTTATTTATTATTTTATAATTTGAATACTTATAATTATTCAGATATACTCAAATTGTATTCAAATAAATAGATAACAAGTCACAATTCTATTTAAATATTCATTATGATTTAAAAAATATTTTTCAAAAAGGATTTTTTTTAATTTTTATATAATTTAACCTGAATTCTATTAAGATATATGAGCTGTTTTAAAAAATATTAAAAAAAAAGATCAAAGATTTTTTATAAAAAATAAAAAAATTTTACAAAAGATTTTTCTTACCATAATCTGATAGTAATAGAATAATCTCAATGATGATATATTATTTTAATATATTAAAAGCTATTAAACTAAATTTAAGTATGATTTAATGCAGAAAGAAGTTATATAAAATATTAATTATATAGATTGATTATTAAAAAAATAGGTGTTAGAAATTTTTTAACAAAATTTCAAATTTTTATTATATTTTGATTTTTGATTTTATTAGATTAAAATATATTAAACTCTTAATTTTAATCAAAAAAATTTTGAAACTGATTTTCTTAAAAAATCTCCCATATAATAAAAAATATTGTGTTAGTATTGCTTTTTTAAATAATAAAAAAAATTGCAATTAATAATAAAAATTTTATATATCTTCAAAAAAATATATTTGTTATTCTTTTCATCAAAATCTTTATGTATTTAATTATTAAAAAAATTAAAAAGATTATTATTATTATATCATTTAATTTATACAATATATCTAAAAAATTTTTATAATTTTTTATTTATTATTAGAAGTTTTTATTTAAAAATTATTTTAATATTAATTTTCTTAATTTACAATTAAAAATATAAATGATAAAATGGAAAAAGAAGAAATATTATATTAAAAATATGAAGAATATAAGAAAAATTATTTAGTAATACTTATTGAATTTTGAACTGTTACTTTTTCATCTAATATAGCAATATTTTCAAATATTATTTATAACCTTTAAACTTTTTGTAATTTTTGAATAAAATTAATTTTAAGTATTTGATGAAGTAGTAAAATATTTAAAAGAAGATAAATTTTTATTTAATCAGATCTCTTTGAATAGTAAGCAAATAAGAAAAATAAATATTTAATTTTAGCTAAAATGGTTATGATACATAATATTTAAAGACATTAAAAATTTAGCATAAATACTAAATGTAACTAGTTTTTTAATTTATATGTAATTAGAAAATTAAACTAATTTTTAAATAGATTTAGTTATATTCTTTTAAAAAGTTAGCTTATATTTTTTGGATTAGCTTAATTATTTAAAAAGTTATCAAAGTTTAAAAATCAAGTACATTATTAATAATTAGCCAAATTTGAATTTATTTCACAAGGATATTTATGAGGTAAATCTAAAATTTGACTAATAAAAATATAAGATCATACAATAGTATCAATCATCATTCACATTAAATTTTTGTAAAATATTTAAATTGAAATCAAATCAGT